AGTCTTTGTTGCTATTGGCAACGGACGGGCATGACTCAAGGCATTAATGGTGGGGAGGGGGGGAACACAGTGATGAAGTTGATATTATTAAACTTGATAAAGAATAAAGCACCCCTACCATTGCTAGATATAGTGTGAAGAGCCATGTGGAGGGGCCCCTCCCCTCATATGCATCTGCCACACCAAGCATGCAAACATTGCTGCTGTCGTTCGCAAGATTATACGCTTGCTCTTCACCTGGCTCATGAAAGACCCCGGGGCGGGGCAAGACACATCTTTGGGGTCGCACAAGACCATGGGAATGAAAGACGAGATTCCAGGATCCAGTCAGAAGCTGGGATAGCTTCTGTAATTTTGGGGTGTTCTGGTCAAATTGGGATGGTTGTGGGATACATGGTTCCTGTCCTCCCTGGTAAAATGGTGGTTCTCTTCACAAAGACACCACTATAGATATGTTGTATGACTTTTATGAGACTTAGTTGATTGAACTTGTCCTACTGACTTCAGTAGAACATAATGCATGACTAACTTGCTCCATTGATTTCAGTGGGACCCAAGTTCAACTAATTTAATCTAATTCCAATCCATTGTATGGCATGGAAGAATTAGTACCACAACAGGATTTGATAATGGGTTAGTGCAATCTGTGCACCTGAAAAATGTTAGCCACCCCTATCTTAATAAGTAAAGAAGCTGATCTACCTATTGCCAATGCAGCAGTCCTTGTAAAGGAGTAATAAAATCGTGTCGTGTTCTTGAAGCTACCAGCATGAGTTTGATCAAAGTGCGGGAGGCAGTAGAAGACAGGAGTGCCTGGCGTGCTCTGGTCCATGGAGTGACGAAGAGTCAAACACGACTAAACAACTAAACAACAACAACAAAATCGTGTCATGTATGGGGGTATTCAATTTGCCAGTAGCTGCAGAGTGAGGAGTGGGTAGTGGTGGCCTGTAGCCTGCAGCAAAAGACCTGTTAAATAGGGAAGGTGGGAAAACTAGATAGGAAGATTGAGATGAGAGCAGTTGATAGCTGCAGATGAGGAGGAAATGCTAGTACTGAAAGGTATAGAAGGAGAGCACCCTGGGATTTGATTGGAAGGGGTATTTTTTGAGGATAATTGTTCTATGAATTGTTCTATGAACAATTATGGGTGCAGCTCTTGGCTGCTTGCTGACTGGGGAGTTCCAACCATGTTTCATGCCCCTTATTTATATGGTCCATTTAAATAGTTCTAACTAATTTGCACACATTTTCTTAGTAAACCTTACAGCAACCCTGTAAGATAGGTCAGTATCATTATCTTGATATTGCAGATGGGGATTGAGATAGTGACTCGCATAAAACAACCTGGTACCTTCTTGACTGAGGTGTGATTTGAACCAGGGACTTCAAGGGTAACAGTCTTAGGGTGGTTTTACTCAAAGCAGATCCACTTAATGGTCCTCCCTTAAGTTAGGACCATTAAGTTTACTCAGAGCAAAACTAAACACTTAGTTCTTAGCCTCTGCATTGCACGCGCCTTTCCCCCTGGGTCGTTTCATAAGGGCCTACTTGTCTACTAACACTAACTCTTAAAGCCTGACCCCTATTTCATTTCCCCCCATAGAGGTATGTCCTACTGATTTTAGCAAATAAACATGATCAGGATTTATTTGCAAAAGTGTTTGTCCGCTTTCTGCTAACTTTATCCATTTTTGATAGATTACAAGGATGTGAATTTGCAGGGTAACAGATTTATTGGTACCCTGCAAGCTTAACAAGGTCATCTGAAATAATTTCTCTGACACCAATGGGAGCTGGGCTGGCTGAGGTCCATCAAAGGTCGCATATGCAATGGATTTTGCATTCATATTCATTTTAATACAAATTTCAAAAAAGATTAATTATAAGTCAGTTCAGTATGTGTGAGTGACAACAACATAATCCTTGGATTTAACTGCCCCTGTTTTATGACTTGTCAAAAAGAAGCCATTGCACTTGAAGGAACTAGATTCCTAAATAAAGACCATATCCATTCAATCAGCATTGTAAATAATCTAGAACATGACCTTGCAAATGCATGCTCACTTGAAGAAGGGTCTCCAAGAAACATTCTGGTGTTCTACAATTACCTGCTTGGTGGAAGAGTGGAATGTTATAATTCCAGAAATGCAGATGAAACATTGCTCATTCAAGAGATCACGAAGTGGTTCACTTATACCTATCTCAGTTTCTTCCCTGCCCCCGCATTTTATCCTATGGGCCCAACAATCCATTGCAGGCCCTCTGTGCATGTTATTAGTGTGGGAGTTACTGGTGTCTCCACCTTTGACCTGTCTTCCAAATGCTGTGGCATTAACTCCTCTACTCCATCTTCAGCACCACTCCTGGCGGAAATGACCCTTACCTCCTTGTAGGGCCTAGAGGCCATCCTTGATTTGGACATAAAGAGACCAAGGCCACACACATGCCCTTCGGAAAAGTATTCCGGACGCTCTTCCTGTTGCAATGACTTTAATTGTGAATAGGAAAGCAGGGGATGTAGGTGAGAAAAATTCGCCACTGTCATCTCACCATTCCACTAGTCACTGATAAAGAAATTCCCATTGCTACTGTAGTGAGTGAGGGAAAAGGTTCCCTCCCATGCTTGGGAGAGTGTCTGGTGGTAAGTCAGACTACGAGTGGACTAATCCATTCCTTTACTTCTCTGCTTCTCATCAAACTTGAAGAGTTATTAAAACTAGGGATTAAGGGCAAGGCAGGACTAAGCAGGTGTAATGGTACCATTAATACAGAAACTGGCTCAGTATTCTGAATTATTATTAATGCTTTTATATACCACCAAGGAGCTCTCCCTCTCACCACATCCTCCTCCTCACAGCAACCCTGTGAGGTAGGTTAGGCTGAGAGATGGTGACTTGGCCAAGGTCAGCCAGTGAGCTTCCTGGCTGATGATGGCTTTGAACCCTGGTCTCCCAGTTCCTAGTCCAACACTCTAACCACTACACCATACTTGATCCCATTGCATCCTATAGAACAGGCACCCCCAAACTCAGCCCTCCAGCTAATTTGGGACTACAACTCCCATCATCCCTAGCTAACAGGACCAGTGGTCAGGGTTGATGGGAGCTGTAGTCCCAAAACAGCTGGAGGGCTGAGCTTGGGGATGCCTGCTATAGAACCAAATCTATAGGCTTCAGTCTGGGAAATAGCAGGTTCACAAGTGATGTCCGGAAGTGCATCTCATTCATTCTTACTGCTAAAGCACTTGTACCTGGAGACAGCTTTGTGTGCTGAGGAAACTGCTGAACACAATTGACACCAAATGGTCCAGCTACCTCAGCTGGAGATCCCACGGAAGGGGCATTATCCCTCCTTTGCATCCTGAAGGCAGCCCAGAGAAAGGATTATATTTCCAGTGCTTTCTTCCCAAACCAAAAACGAATCAGGAGCTAGTTTCAGGAGGAAAGGGGGCAGCAAATAGCATATCACAACCAACAGACAACTCACATTAATTTCTTTTCCTTTACTTTGCATGGTTCCTCTGTGATGGTGCTGACAAAAAGAGCCAGCTTGCCAGCTAGGGCAAATTTCTGGAGTTCCACTGGAAATCTTATAAGGTAATTTGCACCAAAAGAGTGTGCAAACTCCAGTGACCTCTGATGTATATCTTGATTCAAATGTAGTACCATCTGGGTAAACATCTCCTGTTTCATCTTGTCCTAATCCACCCATGAATGAAACGCAAAGCCTGACTGGCTTAAACCAAAATAGGAGCTTCCGTTGGCCTTTTGCACCAGCTTAACTTAATATAATTCTTGATTTACCTAGAGGAAATTCCAAAGCAATGCCTGTTTTCAAAACAAATGCTTTTAAAAATGCTGAAATTAATCATCTGGGGTGCAGGGTGCGGGAACGCTGGAAAAAGAAATTGCTCCCTTTGGCTGGACAGGGAGCCTGCACTGATCAGTAAAAAGCTTTTCCATTGTCTCCGCATGCCCCCAACTGGCAGATGGGCTGAAGGGATCCGGGAGGAAACCAGCACTCTCTAGCGCTGATCTAGACCTTACGCAGAATATTTGCAATCTATGCACGCACAAATTGCCCAGATAAGAAAGCCATACTGAAAATTGATTATTCATAACAAGTCCTGATTAGGATCTACTCTTATGAAACACTAACTGCACAATGCTGGAACACCATGCTCCCCAGAAGTGCTTTGCGCCATGGTACATTACACTTCAGCTCCTAAGCATATATTTTTTTCAGGAAGAAGACATCATCACCAAATGTGTATTCTTTAACTAAAGATTATCTTAATGGAAAGAAGTCACATCATGCAACGGGGGGGATATGTAGATATCCAGCCAAGGCTGTGGCACAACTCCAGAGCTCTCCTTCTTTGTCGGATTTAAAATCAACAAAATCAGCAGACCCATCCTTAGCTTGGGTCAATACAAACTGGATAAACAAGGAACTCCCATCCCTAAATCTAGAGTGTGAACATGATAAAGGTGGAGACCTAGAAGATGATAGCAGCCCTCTCAGGATGGGACGGAAACTGCAGCAGCCTCTAAATGATGCTGTAAAGTTTCTCACATAAGGAAGTGATTGCACTTCTGATGATGCACATCTACTGTTTTAGAAAAGACTAACCTCATATTAAAATGGCACTTGCAAATCTGAATGAGATTGCAGTCACGGCCAATAAGGGAGAGATTACTAGACATTGCTGAAAAGCAGTACAGTGGTGCCTCGCAAGACGAAATTAATTCGTTCCGCGAGTTTTTTCGTCTAGCGAATTTTTCATCTTGCGAAGCACGAAATCCCATAGGAATGCATTGAAATTCAATTAATGCGTTCCTATGGTCAAAAAGTCCAAACAAAGCCAAATTTGGTACAACAAGAGTTTATTAAGTGCTCTTTAAAGTCACACATACTGTAAAGAACATTTCAAAATTGAAGGAACAATAAATTAAGTTTCTAAACATGACAGAAAAACATTTAAAAATCAACAAAGTGTACAGTACATTTTCTAAGACTCTGAGGGACAACTCGAAGAAGGTTCCTCTTCCACTCTTTGCTTCTTGCTGAAGAACCTGTCCATGGTCTGCTGCTTCATCCGCCTTTTCAGCACCTCCCTGAAAGGCGACATGACCCTCGTATCAAAAGTGTTCGCAAGGTCATGTGCCACGTGCTTGTCAGGGTGGTGCCGCTGTGCAAAAACCTGCACATCCTTCCACTTCAGGCAAATGTCCCTCAGTTCTTTGGAGGACAGCCATTCCTCAGTTGCTTCCTCCTCTTCCAGCAAGGCCTGCTCCTGCGCAGCCTCTGCCTGCAGTTCGACCAGCTCCTGGGTGGTCAGCTCGTGGTCGTGCTCCTCCACCAGCTCACTGATGTCCTCCTCTGTGACCTCCAGGCCCATGGTCCTCCCCAAGGCAACAATGTCCTGCACCACTGTTGACTCTGGTGCATCAGAGTCACTTGGTGCCACACAGTCCGGCCACAGGCTGCGCCAGTGCAATTTAAATTTCTCTGGCTGATCCCGTTCCAGGCCGTGGTGATCATCTTCAAGCAGGTGACGATGTCGAAGTGGTCCTTCCAGAATTCCCGCAGGGTGATGGTGGTGCAATCAGTCACCTTGAAGCATCGCCTGAAAAGCTCCTTGGTGTAGAGTTTTTTGAAATTGGCGATGACCTGCTGATCCATCGGCTGGAGCAGTGGCGTGGTGTTAGGCGGCAGGAACATGATGCTGATGAAGCTGAACTCCTCCAACAAGCCCTCCTCAAGGCCTTTAGGATGAGCAGGAGCATTGTCCATCAGAAGCAAAGCCTTCAGCAGCAGGTCGTTGTTCAGCAGGTACTGTTTGACAGCAGGGCCAAAAGCAAGATTGACCCAATCCACAAACAGCACACGTGTGACCCAAGCCTTACTGTTGGATCGCCACATGACACTCAGCTGCTCCTTGTCGACCTTGTGTTTCTTGAAGGCCCGTGGGTTCTCCGAGTGGTACACCAGCAGGGGCTTGATCTTCAGGTCGCCGCTTGCGTTGGCACAGAAGAGCAGGGTCAGACGGTCCTTCATGGGCTTGTGGCCAGGCAACTTGGCCTCCTCCTGTGTGATGAAAGTCCTTTTTGGCATCCTCTTCCAAAACAGCCCAGTCTCGTCGCAGTTGAAGACCTGCTGTGGAACGTAGCCCTCCGTCTTCACAACCTCCAGGAACTCCGCTGCAAAGTCTTCAGCCGCAGAAACATCAGAACTGGCAGCCTCTCCATGCCTGACCACGCTGTGGATTCCAGATCTTGTCTTGAACCGGTCAAACCAGCCTCTGCTTGCCTTGAAGACTTCTGGCTCGCCTGAGGTTCCTGGCTGTTCCTGGACGAGGTCTGCGTGCAAGGCCTTGGCCTTCTCACAAATGACGGCCTCAGTCACTGTGTCCCCTGCACACTGCTTCTCTTCTAACCAGATGAGCCGCAACTTCTCCACCTCCTCCAGAACAGCTGGGCGGTTCTTCACGATCCTGGTGACTCCCTTGGCTGCATCAGTCGCAAGGATCTTCTCCCTCATCTTCAGGATGGTCCCGATGGTCGATGGATTCCTCCCGTACTCCCTGGCGAGGTCTGTCACACGCATTCCACCGTCGTGCTTCCGGATGATCTCCTTCTTCATTTCCAGCGTAACCTTCTCCTTCTTCCCCTCACCGGCCTCTGCAGCAGCAGTCTTCTTGGGTCCCATGGCAGCACAGCTCCTACCTGCACAACCCCCCCCCAAAAAATATCAGTGCTTCACATCCAAAAAATTCAAAAGCACCCAGCCACCCACCACACAGAAATTCAAACCCAGAATTTTTTTTAAAAAAACAGCAGAGTGGCCCAATGGTCACAGAAAATCATAAAAATGCAGAAAAAAACACACACAAGCTTCCAGATTCTTGCAAACCCCTCCCCAACACCAAGTCCTTGAATTCCAAACACCCCAACCCAAAATCCAAAAACCCCAAAAAAAGTTTTAAAAGTTTAACTTACCAAATGGCTGCAAAAGAAGTTTTGGAAAAGCTTCAAAAATCACCAAAGTCTTCAAAAACCTCAAAAAAGGCTACCACACCGTGTGCAATGTGTTGCTCCTCGAAGTCAAGTCGCAACTGCACCTCTTCAAGCAATGCACCCTGGGTATTAACGGTTTTACGAAAAAGGAAACAAACTTGCAAGACGTTTTCGTCTTGCGAAGCAAGCCCATAGGGAAATTCGTCTTGCGAAGCAACTCAAAAAACCAAAAACCCTTTCGTCTAGCGAGTTTTTCATCTTGCGAGGCATTCGTCTTGCGGGGCACCACTGTAGATAGACATTAGGAGGATTTAAGCAGCAAATGTGAAGCTTATGGATAACATGCAGCACAGATTCTAGATCTAGGGATACTATGGTAGAGGGAATGGGCCCCATCCTCAACCCAGGAGCTACACATTAAAATAAAGAGACAGGTAGACAGTCAGCCCTCAAACCCAACATGGACGCCCAAATTCACACAGAGTGGCACACTCACGTAGCACATCAAAACAAAAATGCTCCTGTGGATTGCAGCGCACAAGCACTTCATGCACACATCCTCAAACATGGAGACTGAATCCACCTCCCCAGCCCATAATGACAAAGCTCTACTATTCACTTTAAAATCAGTGTACATGGGCGCATATGCACACCCATCGACACACCCCGTCTCCAGCCTCTGCCCCTTTATGTTACCCATCGCTGAGTGCTGTAGCAAAGAATGGGAAGCCTGAGGGAGAAAGCTTTTGGGTAGCTCAGTTCCTCCGTGACGCTGGAGCACAAATGCTGAAGACAGGTTCAACTCCCAAGTTTTCTTCCATTTATTTGCAAAGAGTAATGTCATCTTCAGATTTACTGTATATCCTTAAGCCCCAACAAAATCAAGGCAGTTTCTTATTGAAGTAGTAGTGGGTCAGGATGTCCATCAACTAAGTATGTAACGAGACAAATAATGCCACACAATTTAAAATGTAAGCAAGGTTGCTTACATTTTAAATTGTATGGTATCTTTTGTCTCTCTTTAAAAAATGTCCTTTATTAGTCACTATTTGCCCTCTGCAAATCTTAAAAACAGTCATACACTTTCACAATTACTCAACAAAACAAGGTTCTTCACTTTATCAGAGCTGGCCTCTCACTTCACTTTGTGAATTTGGAATTCTCAGAAAGTTTGGAAGGGTCAATATTTCAAGAGTCTCACCTATAAATATATTCAAAATTGAAGTACAAAAAAGGCGAGTGATATTTTCAGAGCAGTTCCTGTCATTACTTTTTTTGCTTCACATAATAATAGGCTATGATACATTATAAATGCAGGTCCAAAATACAAAATTTACCCTGAGGCAAAAGGGCTCTGTCTTTGGTATCCATAACTAGCGTGCGCGCACAGGCACACAGAGTGAAAATTGCCATTGGCCAGCAGAGTATGTGTAAAGCAGGCCAGAATGAGCCAACATGGTAGCTCCCCATATATATTAGGACCAGGGTTGGCACATTCCATTTTGCTGCTTGAGGCAAAATGGGAAGTGCTGCTATGCCCTGCCCCTGCTGCAGCTCCCACCGCCGCCTACCTGCTCCCACTGCTGCCACCTCCTCTGCTGCCGCTGACACATCTGTCACTGGCAGAGAAGCAGCACTACCATCAGCACTGATTTGGGACAAGATTGTGTTGATTTTGGGTGAGATCTGACCCCTTGGGGGCTTCTGCAGTCTGAAGCAGCAGCCTCACCCTACCTAATGACTGAACTGGCTCTAGGACTCCCATCTGTCCTGGTTCTCCACGTCAGGCTCAGAACTCCAACTGATACCAGGACTAAAAGTTTTGAAAGCTTTATTGATGAAATGAAAACAACATTCCCACGCAGGTCTACAGGTTATAAAGAGGTAAAGTTTGGCAGAGAATTATGAAACATGGCTAGGCTTAGCTAAGATGTTGATCCAACATTTGACTATACTTTCCTGTTGAAATGCTGGAAGGCACAACTACATCAGACTGGGCTAGCAAAAGGGTACTCCTTTGTTGAGGTTGGGCATATAGAGCTTTTGCTTGCTCTGGCTGTGTAACCACCATGTCCTTGGAGATGGAGTCAGAGGAGCCAACTCACAGTTGGACTTCAGCAGCTGGTGACTGAGTGCTTGCAGTGTTTGGTATCACAGATGTGGCTGTTCTTCATACAGATCACTAGGCTCTTCTCCTGGCTCCAGATCCCCACCTCTCAACCTGCTGGGACACTTCCCTGGAAACACGGGGGAAGGAGGGGTGTGTGGTGGATGTGGTCTGCCCCGGGTGTCATCCCTGAGCGGGGGTGATATCACCACGCCACCCCCTGGGAGGCTCGCTGCTCACCGCGGGTGGCTAGCCCTGCCCCTGCAGGCAGCTAGCCCCGCCCCCAGGTGCACAGCATGTGTGCCGTTCCAGGTGCCGGAGCAGCTAGCTCTGTCTGCACCAGTCCCATCCTGGAGTCCTAGACGGTCATCCCCCAGCACACTAGAACCTTCCCCAAGGCCAGCCTCCTCCATCTCTCTGAGCTCCTCCCATTCTGCACCATCACCTGACCACTGTCTTGATGACATATCCACAGGGCGTTTGACACCATCAATCCCAGTTACTACAGCCAGTGATCAGGGACCATGGCGGTTGTAGTCCAACAACATCCAGAGGTCAACACATTGGCTATCCCTGCCTTAGGCCTTGGCCTCTCTACCTTATACTTTGCACTGGATGTTAGTATGGAAAATTCCAGACCAGAAGTGCCAATAATAACTGTGATGGCTTGTGAGTGTACTTTCTTTCCTCCAAAGTACCTAGGACTTTATAATTATTTATAACAAGTCCCTGAGCCAGCCAAAGATATGGGGTTTTCCCAGAAGAATAACCTGGGGTGGGGTGACACTGGTGACTCTTCACCCCGCCCTCCCTAAACAGTCTTATTTATGGGTATTTTCAGCCTTATCCTTTTTGTTTCCTTCTTTTTTTGTACTCTCATTTCCCTTTGTCTGTTTTGGGTTTGAACTTTCACCTCAGACCTTTTTAATAGTTCCATAAATCTACCACCCATTCAGAGCCTTTGGGAAAGGCAAGCGCTACACATCTAAAAGCTCCTACACCCCTTGTTTGTGAGTGAGGCCCCAAGCCTAGGGGGCTACTTCAGAGAGCTCAGTGAGCAGGCACCAGCAGACAGCATAAGCCTATAATGCCACCGAAGCACGCCTGAGATGAAATTGTGAGGAGCAAGGTCAAAGTTCAAGTGCTTCCTGCACCTGAGAAGTGTGCCTGTGACACAGTGATCACACACCCTAAAGTGTGTCACTGTGCATATAAAAAGCTTTTTTAGGCATAATAATTATGGGTGATGCTTTCATTAATGAACTGAAACCAATGCAGGGCCAGGCTCACAATTACGCCGTTTGGGATCTTCCTTTAGCGAGTCTGATTGCAACATCAATCAAGCAATTATAAAATGTGGGGAGGAGTCTGGCTGTACACTGGCTCCCCGAGGTAGTGCACAAATATTATTAAGCCACAAGAAGCTCCTGTTCTGATCCACATCAAGACCAGGAAGGGCCCAAGACATTTTTCAGCCTGAGGTAAAGGACAAGAGAGCCCATTGCCCATTCCACATGCAGAATTTACCTTCTGAGCATATATGTATATATGCCACCGAATAATATTGTTCACTGGGCAGCTCTCAGATATGAAGAGTAAAATAAAGTCTTTTGAAAGAACGATTTCAGCATTAACACTGTCAGTTGAGACAGAGGTAAAACCAGTTTCATAGCATGGCAAAACATACACGGCATGCAAAGAGTTAGTTGCAATTCAAAATATGGAAAAATTGATTTTAAAATGCCTGGGAGATTTTTTTAAAAAAGGAAATATTTCCCTAGTACCAAAATGATAAAAAGAAGGTACCAAGTGAGCCTTTCTGAGGAGGGCACGCCCAGCCAGGGTGCCACCATCAAGTGGCCACATTTTGGCAGCCAACCATCTCCCCTCCCCCACAACACATAACCAAGTTCCAGTTATATTGTGATGCGGGAGTGTACAGATGGGGACAGCAGGCAGCTACCAACCGATTACCAAGACACTGAAGTGCATTACGACCAATAGGTACCTGCTAAGGTCCAAAGGGAACACACAGTCTTATATATGAAACAGCAGTGGCAGTTCCACTTATCACACTATTACCAACATTTAGGTGGAACAGCTCCAATTTATGTCTACATACATCAGATTACAAGATACGTATCCCCCAAATTTGTAACTGTGCAATTCATAGTATTCAACACAAGCTGCTGTATCCACTGTCTAGCAGTAACTGGGTAGACAACTGCTAAAAAATCTCCCTGTAACAGCTCCAGTCATGTATGGAAATAGGTCGCTTCTAGACTCAAGCCATAAATTTAATTCATAATTTGGCATTAATGAAATGGTAGAAAGGAAAGCAGATTTATCAGACATGACCTGGCCCTGGGACCAGGCGCACACAAGAGGTAAGTAAGAAGGAACAGCTTGGTTGATTACCTGTGATACAGTTGCGTGTCAAGGTCCCCAATACACCCCAAAGGAAAACACAATTGACACTTAATTTTTGTTTAAATTTTTTGGCATAATTTTGGCCACAACTTTATTCAAATACAGCAATGTGAGTGGTTGCTTAGGCATTGGTAGCACTAACTGACCCCGCACGGGGACAGCTCTGACATTCGCACCCCCCGCGAAGTCAGGAAGGGTAAGTCATAGAATCATAGAATCATAGAGTTGGAAGAGACCACAAGGGCCATCGAGTCCAACCCCCTGCCAAGCAGGAAACACCATCAGAGCACTCCTGACATATGGTTGTCAAGCCTCTGCTTAAAGACCTCCAAAGAAGGAGACTTCACCACACTCCTTGGCAGCAAATTCCACTGTCGAACAGCTCTTACTGTCAGGAAGTTCTTCCTAATGTTTAGGTGGAATCTTCTTTCTTGTAGTTTGGATCCATTGCTCCGTGTCCGCTTCTCTGGAGCAGCAGAAAACAACCTTTCTCCCTCCTCTATGTGACATCCTTTTATATATTTGAACCTGGCTATCATATCACCCCTTAACCTCCTCTTCTCCAGGCTAAACATGCCCAGCTCCCTTAGCCGTTCCTCATAAGGCATCGTTTCCAGGCCTTTGACCATTTTGGTTGCCCTCCTCTGGTCACGTTCCAGTTTGTCAGTGTCCTTCTTGAACTGTGGTGCCCAGAACTGGACACAGTACTCCAGGTGAGGTCTGACCAGAGCAGAATACAGTGGCACTATTACTTCCCTTGATCTAGATGCTATACTCCTATTGATGCGGCGCAGAATTGCATTGGCTTTTTTTAGCTGCCGCGTCACACTGTTGGCTCATGTCAAGTTTGTGGTCAACCAAGACTCCTAGATCCTTTTCACATGTACTGCTCTCAAGCCAGGTGTCACCCATCTTGTATTTGTGCCTCTCATTTTTTTGCCCAAGTGCAATACTTTACATTTCTCCCTGTTAAAATTCATCTTGTTTGTTTTGGCCCAGTTCTCTAATCTGTCAAGGTCGTTTTGAAGTGTGATCCTGTCCTCTGGGGTGTTAGCCACCCCTCCCAGTTTGGTGTCATCTGCAAATTTGATCAGGATGCCCTTGAGTCCATCATCCAAGTCGTTGATAAAGATGTTGAATAAGACCGGGCCCAAGACAGAACCCTGTGGCACCCCACTAGTCACTCTTCTCCAGGATGAAGAGGAACCATTGATGAGCACCCTTTGGGTTCGGTCAGTCAGCCAGTTACAAATCCACTGAGTGGTAGCATAGTCAAGACCGCATTTTACCAGCTTCTTTACAAGAATATCATGGGGCACCTTGTCAAATGCCTTGCTGAAATCAAGGTAGGCTACATCCACTGCGTTCCCTTCATCTACCAGGCTTGTAATTCTGTCAAAAAACGAGATCAGGTTAGTCTGACATGACTTATTTTCAGAAATCCATGCTGACTATTGGTGATCACAGCATTCCTTTCTAGGTGCTCATAGACTGTTTGCTTAATGATCTGCTCCAGAATCTTCCCTGGTATTGATGTCAGACTGACTGGGCGGTAATTATTTGGGTCCTCTCTTTTCCCCTTTTTGAAAATAGGGACATTTGCCCTCCTCCAGTCTGCCGGGACTTCGCCTGTTCTCCAGGAATTCTCAAAGATGACTGCCAGTGGTTCTGAGATCACATCTGCCAGTTCACCTGGGGAGAGAGACGGCACTGGGAACCATGCCTCACCTCTCCCCAGCATGCTCCCAGGGGCTTGCGTGGCCCTAGCCCCTTGCCAGGGGGTTTCAGACAAAAGCATGGGGGAGCCCCTGGGTTCATTTAACGGTAAAACCCTTCAGCAGCAGCAGCATTTTGGAGGGGCAGGCACAGCCGAATCCATACCCCTCCACCAGCAGCAGCATTTTGGGGGGCAGGCACAGCTGAATCCATACCCCCCCAGCAACCAATTCCAGACCAATGCCTAACCGCCAACTGAGCACTGAAGCTCACCGCCAAACCACTCACAAATGCAACCCTTCCTTCAAACCCAAAGCGACCGCAGCCAACCAGGTGTCGTTCCCTACAGGGGAAAGATGTACCCCATCTGCCCTAAAGAGGGCAACAGCCTTGAAGGAAATAGCAGGGTGCATGATCACAGAACCGCCTAAGGCGAGGACCTTCTTTACCGCCACCTTGTTAACGCGCTTCCTGGCCTGCTCGGTGGCAGCCGGACTGCGACTGCCACGCCAGAAGCGGCGTTGCAGCAACTGCGACCAAATTATTTTTGCATCTGGCAACATAGCAGCCAGTTTCTCCAGGTCCTTCCGTACTGCGTTACGCAAGTCACAGCAGTCGGTGGCAGGCAAATCATTCTCCCCCAGCTGGAACACAATAACAGAAGGGGGCCCCATAAGACTCAACTGCTTTTGTATCATTGGAAGCAATTCGGCCCACAGCATTCCACGTCTGGACAGCCAAGACACCTGCACATGATGGGGAAGGCCAAGTGCTGCTCCGAATCAAGACTCCCGAGCTCTGATGCCGGCCCAGTGGACAACGCTGTGGCCTACAATCCAAACCCGAACTTTTTAAAATTTTATTTTATTTTTTAATTTAATTAATTAATTAATTTTTTATTTTATTTTATTTTCCACCGCCTTATTAACATGCTTTCTGGCCTGCTCGGTGGTAGTTTGTCTAGGCATTGTTTCCGACTATCTGCACCTGACCTCAGCAGGGCAGCACTGATGACTGGGCCCCACCATATCGTCAGTACAAGCAAACATCGTGGGGGAGCAATGAACCAGGATCAGACTCAAGCGCACCCCAAATGCTCCAGGGACCCTTGCGTGGCCCTGCCCCTCGAAAGGGGTCGACAAAAGCATGGCGAATCCTTGGATTCCCTTAATGGAATATCTTTGCGCATTGGAGGGGACAGGTGCTCCGACCCCCCCTCCAGACCACCTTGAACCAATGCCTTAAATTATTTTGAGTCCAGGGAGAGCTGCCATCAACTCATCCAAGTCCTCCTGCATGCAGGAACGCAAACTTATGCTGGAGGAAGACGGCAAGTCATTCTCGTCCAGCTGCCCCACTAGCACTGCGGGAGGACCTGCACAGGTCACACTCGACCGCACCAAAGGAAGGAACTCCTCCCAAAGCATTCCCCATCTGGACACCCAGTATATGTTCACATGGGCAGGAAGACTGAGATGGCGCCCCAGTCCAGACTCGTCAGCGCGCTTGCCAGCCCAGTGTACAATGCTTTATTTTTTATTTATTTATTTATTTTTATTTTATTTTCCACCGCCTTATTAACATGCTTTCTGGCCTGCTCGAGCGACAATCCAAATGTGCACAGCTGCTCCTATGAAAAAAGGAAATAACAGACAGGCATCAGCAGAGACATCATTGTTGACACTTCCTGATGTAACCCTTGTCAGCATCAGACTTCCAATGTCCCGTATTCACAATCATGTCTACTGACAGGCCCCCAGTGTGCAGCCTTTGCAGCAGCCCTATTCGGAAGGAATGCGGCGTGTTCAGCGGTAAGCAAGCCGCAGGCCGTAATAACTGGTGCATGATGTAAGCACATTGATGCCTGGCAACAGGAACCCATTTCCATGCACTAGGAGCAGGCCGCGGGCCAGCCCCCAGGGGAACGAAAAGCCAAATATTTCTGGTATCCATAACCGGGCAAGGGCCCTCCTCACCTGTGAGGGGAAGCCTGATGGTGGCACTCCTGCCCACTAGGTCTGTTTTAGAGTTCCCAACTCTAATGACCAGCTCCAAAGCAGATAAGGAAAAGTCCTGAAGCAATAAGCCTCCAGACTCTCAGCCCCGTGCTGGCTCCAACACAATTTCCCCAACCCTCAGTGCACCAAAAATGCAATGGAATACTGAAAGGAGTCTCGCCTTGATCTTTAACCAGCAGACAAGTTATAACTTGTTGCAGATACTGCATAGGTAAAAATTGACCGACTTCCTGCCCACTGTCGTATGAGGTTGGAGCCTATTCCAACCTTCCAAGGCCCTGCGCACGACAGACTTTATACAAGGGTCTCTGCAAATTAAAGCTTTACTATAACAGACACTGCAGCGGACTGAATACTGATAGTTTTAACAGCACATACAATCTGCAGCTGGTGGACCAAATATTGCAGGATCTGCTAGAGGATGGGGGCCAGTTCTTCTGAATGCCCGAGGACTGCCAGCTTAAGGCTAAGAAATCCATCCAGGCCTTCTCATAAGAGCTAAAAGCAGAAGGGGAAATGGAAGCTGCTGCTCTCTGTAATTGACAACTAATTGTTGTCAAAGTGCCACAGGTGGTCTGGAAAGTCTGGCAGTAGCTGAGTGTCTGGAGCCCAGGATCTGAAGCGCTCCATCTGAAAATGGGATAGAGTGTCAGCAACATCATTAGAGGATCCCGTAATCAGGAGAGCAGAAAGCACAGCATTAAACCTTAAGCAGCGCAGCTCGAAGCGTGAGCGGAGGGGCGGAGACTCTGCTGGAGCGGGAGGACTGCTTTGCCAAGACACTCACCACTGCCTGGTTATCAGACCAAAAGCAGATCCGATGGTCACTGAACTCCTCGGGCCACATGTGAACTGCTACTACAATGGGGAAAACTCAAGAAAAGTTAGGTCACATGACTGCTTCACCACACCGGGCTGGAGGCCATGGCTATGCACACCAGCAGCCCCTGAAATAAAAAACCAAAGGGCAAAGATCCAGCAGCATCAGCATGAACAAGGTATCCTGCCATGGCGAACTACTATTGCATTCATTTTGGAATTGCAACCATCGCATGAGATCTGCCTATCACCTCACTTGGTAAGCGTACACGAAGGTAAGGGGACCTCAGGCCGCAGGCAGCCTGGCCTAGCGGGAATGGAAGGGGTGGCCTGGGGCGACCACTCTGCATGCAAGATTAATTAAGTGACCCAGCAAGATCGGATCTGATGAAGCATCACTTGCTACAGAGGAAGTATTACAAAGTAACTTCCTTCAAGGCAGACAGCTTCTCCCTAGGCAAGTGGTATGTTTTAGCAACGATATCCATCTGGATCCCTAAATAAAATGGGAATATGGGCAAAAGGTATTGCGCTATTGCTTGCCAGCTTCCAGCCCCCGCTTGGGCAGGGGGCATCTTGTGCTGCCATCATGATATGTAAATTTACAGGGCCGACGCTGGCCAGAACCCCTAAAGAAGTCCCGACAAAGCTGCCGCCTAGCCAGCTTCCTTTTCAGACACACCCTCCGTGCAATGCAACTACACACTCCATGCACTGCAGACACCCTCCGTGCAATGCACACACACTCCGTGCAATGCACACACACACACACACACTCCGTGCAATGCAACCACACCTTCCATGCAATGCAACAACACCCTCCGTGCAATGCAACTACACCCTCCGTGCAATGCAAATGCAATCTCTCACGCAATGCAATGCAATGCAATGCAATTGCAGCCCATGCAGCGCCGTGCCCTGCAACGCACAGAGCAAACTGCAATGCGGGCACGCAAAGGTGCTTTCTCCCACTTGCATATTGCAAACGTGGCGCCCGTTACATCCGTCGCAGTGAGGGAACCACCAAAAGGCCCTCGACACTGGACCTAAGTGTCCAGGTAGAGCAATGGGGGGCATGTAGCTGTCCCATACAGGGACCAATCCTGCAACCTAGGCATTACTGGCACTATGTGCTGAGCAGCTGAGCTATCCAGGATGATCCCTAAAGACCCAGGACAGCCTCACCCTAACCCCTGGAGAGGTCCAAGGTGATGTCTGAATTATCATCCCTGCTCCTCTTTGCCCTCCTCCTGGAATGCCGCCTCCGAAGACGCTTCCTTCTGGAAGAAGGCACCTGGGGCGTCCGCAAGTCATCCTCTGCAGGAGAGGCAAGCTCTTGAGGCATCTGCAAAAGCTCTGTCATAGTCTGCAAAAACTAAACAATGTAAGGAACCAGTGAAACCAATGCTTCATGCACCACATGGGGACACTATTCAGGCCGGAAACGCTTCCAGGCCATCGAATTCTAGGGCAAAGCCCTAGGATCACCTGCTAGGCCAGGCATAAATGTTTCCAGTGAAATAGCAGAGTTGAGGTAGCCCACAGCTTGTCCAGGTACCCCTGCTTGCCCTTTTAGAGGGAAGCACCCCTTCAAGAAACCCAAAGTTCTTTTATCACAAATGGGCCCAACTACCCAGCAACAGAATAGCCGAAAAGGAGCAGTTTGTTTTGTTTTGTTATAACAATGGCTAAGAGGGGGATATGAACCCTGTCTCCCAGGACCCAGCCCTGCACTCTAGCCACTAAGCCACAATGGCTCATCTCTAAAATGGCAGTCGCCAATATCAGGGCAAAACAAACTTAAAGAAAATAAACTTGTTCAGAAACAGCATAGTTCCAGAGCATATACAGAGTGCTCCTAGTCATTGGAGGCACAGAGACCCTGGCTCCACTCTGTCTGCCCCAAATATACAATAGCAACTGAGCCTGCAAGCAAAAGATACATTCTTAGAGAGGGAATGAGTCACATGTTTCCTGCTAACTGCAGCAGGCCTAGGCTTAAATGCAGACCTCACTGCTTCTGCTCTTAAGAATCTTTGATTCATTGCAATATTAAAGGAAGCTCAAAATGGTGCTCCTGCCCAAGGCTAGATCAAAATTCGGCCAACAGCGCTGCACACACCCAAAATAAAGCCACCTTTGGGGATACTATAAACGAAAGTGATTCCAGCTAAGCTGGGAACAGCCTGACCAGCCCCACAATTAACAAACAGGCAAAATGAGGGAAACCTTTCTGCAAAAGAAAGCCCCTAATGGGGACTCTCTCCCCATTGGGAAAGGCAAGCCAAGGAGGATTATGCACAGGCAGCTCTCACAGGTACAGGGAGAATCTTCTCAAAGGGCAGGGTAAGGGGTGGGGTGGGAAATCAAAGAGGAAAAGAAAAGGGGTGGAATTAAATTAATTAAGGGACTAGAGAGGATTAAAAAGAAGGGGGGAAGTAAAGAAATATAACCAGAGAATGAGAAGATCACTTCACGGTCCAGGTGCTTCTGGTGATCCGAAGCACGCAGCGAAAGAGGACGTCCTTGCTGCGTGCCTTGTATTTAACAAATAGGGCTGTCAATCACTAAATGGCAACATGTAATTTCCCCCAGTAACAGCCCACCCCTGCTTACGAGTTGGCCAAACCATCTGCCCAGAAACAGCAAGGTGTCTTGGAATCCCCAACCGCAACACGTGCTCTCCGTGATGGAGAACACGCTTTCCCTGACAAGGGCCTTCAGATCCCTAAGCATGCAATGACTCAAGCTCTCATGCTAATTTTGTCCTGCCAATATTACATGGGGGACAGATCAGCAGTCAGCATTGGGCAAGAAATGGCACTGCAAGGCCATTTGGGTGGGTAGGTGGAAACTTTGCTTCATTAATCCGTTCTAGCTTCATTTGTGAACTGTCTGGAGAGGACTTCTTGCCCTGAAGTCTGCATAACAATATGTAAATAATGGACCAAAATTTGTTAAAGGGCTAAAATAGTAGTGTTTGGACAGTGTGGTGGTCAATATGGGATGGACCCCAAGTACCATAGGAACCCCTATCAATGGCAGGCACCATAGACGTGCCCAAAACACTCCTTCCTCCCATTTCTCAACTGCTCCAAAGTAGTGTTTGCATGGTGCATGCACACTAAGCACAGCAAATATGTACATGTAGATAAATAAACAGCCATTATGCTGGTACATGTAAAAATATAAGCAAATAAAATAATGCATGGCATGGAGAAAATAGAGAAAAGATTTTCTCTCCCTCTTATAGCACTGGAACTTGTGGACATCTAGTGAACCTGAACATTGAAGAATTCAGGATAGACAAAAGAATCTACTTATTCCCACATTGCATTCCATTCTGTTGGAGGCAGATGTGGCCACCAGCTTGGATGGCTATCAAAAGGGATTAGGCAAATTCACTGAGGCTATCAATGGTCACTAAGCTCTTCCTCCATGGTTTGGAGGCAGTATGCTTTTGAATATCAGTTGCTGGAAACTGCAGGGTGGGGAAATGCAGTTGCATTCAGGGTCTGCTTGCAAACTTCCCAAAGGCATCTGGTTGGCCACTGTGAAAAAATATGGTAGACTAGGTGGGCCATTGGCCTGTCCCAGTAGGCCCTTCTTATGCTCTTATTGAACACACAAGGACACAGACAGGACAAATGCTGTATTCTAATTGCTAATGTGGGAAATGAAATAATAGATTAGTCACACAATAAAGGCCTTAATTGCTTGCCAAAGCATTTAGGGGACATTACATCGATTTCTAACTGCTGCCAGAGAAATAAACTCCTGTATCATTAGATAACAAGAAAAGAAATGGGATATTTCCTTTTTGAAAGCATCCAATTGCCTGATGTATTTGCTCAGTAGATTATTTTCTGTCATCTCAGTTAATTGAATTTTATCCATTGCTCTTAGAATTCTTCCCTTTCATAGAAGGTTAAAAAGTTCAGAGGAGTCACATTTTTCAACTTTGTCAATTTATCGTATAAACCAACTTGAGCTGCACAAAGTGTGCTGGGTGGTGGAGAGATGGAGTAACAAAAACTATGAAATAATTGCTTTTTAGTGTCTTGGTGAATCAGTGTTCAAATAATTGTTTGTAAACCATCGCTCTGTAAAATGGCACCCAACTGAGATACTGTAACAAGTACATAAAAGACTTTTCATGGATATGGCTCCATCAATACATTTTTGCTGGGAAGTTCCATAAAGATTCCTGATGTTCCATCACTTTCATTTTTATTTGTGGGGGGGGGGGGGGGGGTTTGAAACCCAACATTATGTTGAAATTTCACTATAAGTTGATTTACAATAGAATATTTACCTTGCCATGAAACACAGCCTTGGTGGAACTATTTTACAACGTGTGAACTACCACCATGCAGTTTTTTTTAAAGTCTTTTTAAAAACACACACACACACAAACAAACAAACACACAAATAAACACAAATTGTACAGCTGTAGTGCAATTATATTTTTAAAATGTACTCTTAAAACTTTAACCTGATGAATATTTTCTGGGGAAAATTTAACTAACACAACAAACTCTTTTTCTCCCAAAATAATCCCACCATTAAAAAAAGGGGGGGGTGTTTTGGATTTCAATCTTGGGTCCAATAAATGCCCAATGGATGTATGAATCATATTTCCCCCCCAACACCATGGCACAGCTGACATTGACACTGAAATAACAGTGTGTCAGCTAGTCAATAAAAAGTCAAAGAAGACTGACAGATTAGTGGTTCTTATCTCTCTGAATCAGCTCATAGTGTAGACTGGACTGAAGGTCAACATCTAGTGACTCTTCTGCAGTAAACAAGTGTCTAGAGACTATGGATTTTCTGCTATGTAAGCTGCAGTGTCCCTCATTGTTGGGTAATACAGCACCAATTTCAAAACTGTCAATGTGTATTATGGAAAAAAAACCTCCCATGTACAAAGCCCTACATTTGTTGACATCTCTCCTCCTCAACTTTAGGTGGGGCTCACTCCTAACCACTGTGTTCTTTCACTCTGCCACCAACCAGCTTTCTCAGCATGACTAGCGAGCTTAATGGAGAGGATCAAAAAGTTTGAGCAGTCCAGATGCCAATTCTCCAACCATGGATGGATGCTTCAGATGGAAAGGAGCCTATCATTCTCTGGGACAGAGTACGTGGCCCTGGCAGTGGAGTAGAGCCCCCAGCTACAAGCATATGGAGTGGCACTCTAACGAAGCACTACTGAATTGGTAAAGTCCGCATTTCGGATTGGGGGTGAGGGAGAAGCAAAATCAATCAAGTCCTCTCTTGTATATTATCACGACTAGTGCTTCCCCCCCCCCAAGAAAAATAGGTTCCAGAACTCACCATGAAGTTGTTACAGCAAGTCACCGCACAAAAAGGGGAAGACCTGAACAGATGCCGGTTTAACAACAGCTGCGTTCACTGCCCACGGAAGTGCTAAAAACTATGGCAAGCTGTCTCCCCAGCTGCTTTAGGGTTGCCCCTAGTTCTGGTGCAGGTCAAATAAATGCGCCCCCGCCTCCCTCCCTCTCCTTGATTCAGGCAGATGGCTAGGGCCCTTGCGCAAACGTGTGCAGGGCTGGAAACATAAAGCCTGCTTCCACTACACAGAAGACAGATAGAAGAAAAGGAAATAGGAATTGGCTCTGCCCTGTAGATCAGGGGTAGGCAACCTAAGGCCCAGGAGCCGGATGCGGCCCAATCGCCTTCTGAATCCGACCTGCGGATGGTCAGCATGTTTTTACATGAGTAGAATGTGTGCTTTTATTTAAAATGCATCTCTGGGTTATTTGTGGGGCATAGGAATTTGTTCATTTCCCCACCCCCAGAATATAGTCCGGCCCCCCACATGGTCTGAAGGATGGTGGACTGGCCCACGGCTGAAAAAGGTTGCTGATCCCTGCTGTAGATTGACCAAGGGTGGCTAGGAGTAGGTGGAGTCATAGGTCTAAAAAAAGTGTAGACACACACGCTGACCAGCTTCCATTTTGGATTTGAGGAGTTTGGATTTGATATCCTGCTTTACCACTCCCCTTCAGGAGTCTCAAAGCGGCTAACATTCTCCTTTCCCTTCCTCCCCGACAACAAACCCTCTGTGAGGTGAGTGGGGCTGAGAGACTTCAAAGAAGTATGACTGGCCCAAGGTCACCCAGCAGCTGCAGGTGGAGGAGCGGAGACGCAGGAGGAGGAGTGCCAGCCCGCAATGGGGCCTACCTGAGAGGAGCTGGAAATGTGCTCTGGCTGAAAAAAGCAATGATCATAGTTAACTTTCAAAACAGGAAATAAGGTAAATTGACACAGTTCATCTCTCTCACAATAGCTGTAGTATTAATACAGGATAGTGACCCCTCCAATTTTTATTATTTTAAAGCAAAAGGATTTATGTCTTTTGTATGAATTCATAGTGCATATGTTCACTTTATTGCTTATAAACTATAGGCACTCAGTGCATAGAACCAGTGAACTGAGTGAGCCACAGATGTTGTTCCTGCAGATTAACCATAATATATTGTGATTCAAGGACCCGCCACCCGCTTGAGGATAAGAAAGACACATGGACACGGTATATTAGGTTAATGGGCTAGAAAAGGCCACAACTTTATTGATTACAGCATGTGAGAGGTATTGGCTTAGGCATTGGATAAAACAACAGAGCGTGACTCCACCCCCTCGGGGAGGGGTGAGTCTATCAAGGGTTAACCACCAGTGGGAGGAGCCTGTTGACGCAAATACAACTGGAAGCTCCCCCTGATGTCACTGGGGGTCGTGCCACGGCCCTAGCCACCAGCAAGGGCGTCGGACAGGATCCATGACCGCCAGTTTCCTTTACCGGAATACCCATAAAATGGAGGGGTAGGCGATGGCCACACCCTGCCCTCCAATACACAACCATATTCCAATGCCTAACCGCCACCCGAGCCAAAGAGGCTGCTGCCAATACCCTCACAGCTGCAACCAATCCCTAAGGCTTCTGATGATGTGGCCAGCCCAATATCATTGCCGAGGTCTGAAAGGTGAACTCCGTCATCACGAAATAAAGACCATTCGCTGAACCGGATGTCAGCATGCTGAATCACTTGGCCATTCATATATTGCAATTTGCGCGCCACCACACGGTTTAAAGTTTTCCTGGATTTTTCAACGGCCATAGGGCTATGGGAGCCATGCCAGCAGCACAATGGCTGAGAAACGCTGCCGGGCCGCATTTTAGCGGCTAAACCCCGCCCCAAGCCTCCAGACGATTGGCTGGCCACCTGGGGGCGTGGCACGGCAGCCGGAGCAGTTGGGCAGGGGGCGGAACACCCCCTGCCAAAGCAGGAAATGGCTCCTGCTCACAACTCCTCCCCTCCCTGAGGAGGAGAGGCTTTATTAATTTATATAGTACTTACTTGCCAAAATGGCTTCTAAGTAGTTTACTTGCATAAAACCAATTATAAAAATATAATCACACATGATTAAAAATACACAATTAAACAATGTCATCAAAACATTCAAATAAACACCCATAATTAAAATGTTCGATAAACAAGCCCAATAAAACAGCACAACCTTTAAGACAGTTAAACAGCAATTAATACAATTTAAGCAGGAGGGTCAAGGAGGAGATCAGGGGAACGCGTGCCAAAAGCAGGCAGAATGTCAATACTAACAGGGACCCTCATATTTCAGTGCTGAGAACATTCATACCTAAATGGTGACCCCAAAAGTTACCCAAACTTTGGCTTTTCCTATTAAGAGTAGAACTGGGGAATTGGAAGCGCACGACACTCACGCAGCTGAGACCCTCACTTTCTGAATCAGCTCTCAGGCTCTTATTCTGTGGCCACACGCCTGCTGTTATAACAGAGATTACAAAGCTGGGAACAAGTTAATGTATTAAAGGAATTATGGACGAACAAATCCTTATTTCACCTAGATACAGGCTGAATTCTAATCATCTCAAGCTTAAATGGTCCATAAGTTCCATTAGCTGCACAACCAAAGGACTTACAAGTTTATTGATCCATGAAGCAAACAATCTCACCTACTGTGTAAAGACAGATCTGCAGGTGTCATATGGACAGAGAAGGTCGGCACAGGGATGTTTCTCTATGCTTAGCAGGGGTTTTTTATATAAAAGAGAATCTTAAAAAATGTATTAAGCACATGCAGAGAATCATGAAGATGTCAATAGTTATATATTATTTTGATAATGATGATGATTAGAATTTATAAACTGCCTTTCATTTCTATATGAAATACCAGGCAGTTCAGAAACAATTAAAAACTAGCAGTAAAATAAAAAGAATAAAAAGTTATGAAAATGCAGCTATGTGTAATTAAAATATATAATAGACAAGTGCGTTAAATAAAAGTTTAAGCTACCTGTTGGAGTAGGTGACAGTCTTTCAACTCCAAGTGCTTTTGGAGTATACTGATCATTTGAATTCATTCCAGTCCAGTTTCATAGAATCATAGAATCATAGAGTTGGAAGAGACCACAAGGGCCATCGAGTCCAACCCCCTGCCAAGCAGGAAACACCATCAGAGCACTCCTGACATATGGTTGTCAAGCCTCTGCTTAAAGACCTCCAAAGAAGGAGACTCCACCACACTCCATTTGGGAAGGAAGCAGCTTCGGTTGCCCTGGTGGGTGACATGCTGGGGAATGGACAGAAGGAATGCAACCATATTGGCTCTCTTCATCACCTTCTGGCCTTGGTTTCCTTCTGGACAGCCCAGCTGTGTTGGGCCCAGGCGACCCAGGAACATAGTAGCTTTAATCCTTCCTGGATTAAAGGTAAACCCCAGAAAGTGGTGCTGGGGCACTTCTGTTCCAGCCCATGGCCTTTATTTTACAGCAGGTGTGGGGAGGCTTTGCTCCTCCAGATGCACATTTGTCAAGACAGTTATCCTGGATCTGGAGCTGCCTGGAAAAGCACAGGTCGTGATGGCCAGGAGTGCCTTTTACCAGCTCAGGCTTGTACACCAGTGTGACCTGTCTGGAAAGGGTGGACCTTACCTTACCTCTGTTACCTGTGTAGTGATGACATCCAGATCAGACTGAGGCAACATGTTGCATGTGGAGCTGCCTTTAGAGATGATTTTGGAATGTCAACTGGTGCAAGATGCAGCTGCCCAGTTATTGAATAGAGGCAAAGTGGTTGGAACACACAATACTTGTACCAGTTGCCAGTGTGTTTATGGGCCTAATTTGGTGGTAATGATCTTTACAGCCCTAAAAAACCTCTGGCCATCTTATCTGAAGGACCACCTTCACTCTTAAGGTTAGCTGAAGTTTCTGAATTGTCTTTAAAGGCAGCTCCACATGCAGCACATTGCAGTAGTCTAGGCTGGATGTTACTATGGTTGCTGTGTTTCTGAGCTTCCCATGAGAATCTGACTGACCGCTGTTGGTCTTTACCCAGCAGGGCTCAAAACAGCAGTCATGTTTTGAGTTGAACAAGGGCTAAAAGGTCAGGAATATTGGCTCTTATCCTGCTCCCACTTGGTGGAGAAAGGCTCTTTATTCATTCACCCCTTCTCTCCACTGAACAGCAGCAGAGGTTTTGGCGCAGTCCATTATGCCTCCTTCGTCACTCACTCTAAATATAAATAGCTCTTTAACCTATTTCCCCACATTCTAAAGAGCAACAGAGATTATGACAGAATTCTCCCCTTCCACACTTTGGCTGCCCACTCTGATGCACAGATAAAAAAAGATTACGAAATAATGAACTAAGAGATGGGTCAGTGGGACCAGCCACCTAAGGTGCATAGTGGGAGAATTCTGGCAGAGCCTCTGTTGACACTGGTGGAGCAAGGGACCTATTTATGTCATGGAGTGAGCAACTAAGATGCATAGAAGGAAAAACTCGGACAATCATTTTGTTGCTATTCTTACTGGAGAGGATGGAATTAAAGAGGCTTTGCCTATGTTGGAGTTTGCACAGGAGAAAGCAGTGCAGGAAAGCGGGTGGGAATTGAGGTGACCATGCTGCAGCCTCCTGGGGGTCAGATGAGGCCGCAAGCTACCAGTTGCACATCCCAGCGGTTGAGCATCTACTGAATGGACTGTAATGCAGCTTAACTGACCACATCTTAAAGAATGTGCATTGCAATTTATTAACCAGGCCAGTATGTGTGTGCATGTGCACACTCCATCTTGGTTTCTCATTACTTTGGAGAAGAGCACCACTCAATAATGAAAGCTGATTGCCTTTACCACCAAACGATTACCCAAATAATCAGCTTGTGACTTCAGAGCTGCTTGATTTTAAACACTCTCGAAAACCAGCTCCATTTTCTGCTTTAGTGAATAACAATTCTCCACACTGGCATATTAGAATAAATAAGCTCCAACTGTACTGCACTGTTATAAAAGTTTCCAACTATTATAAAATAGTTTCTATAAGATCAGTTTTTCTTATAGCTGGTCAAGTGGAATAATTCCGGAAGGCAATTGTTTGTGGCAGAAGAAGTGTGCTCAGCTTTCTGCCTTATGTTTCCCAATCAGAACATTTCCAATTTAACAAAAGCAATTTGAGAGCCTTTGTTGTTAAATGATTTGGAGGCACTGACGTATACAAAGACCAAATAAGAAACTAGAATTGCCAGCTTATGGAAGAGGATAGGACAGAAAGTTAGAAAGCAAATGAAATGGAAAAATATGCAAAACAGTAGCAAAGCCCCTTGCACAGGTGATTGACAGCTGCCAAAATCCCTTGGGCAACTTTCCCCATACACCCAACCACCAGCTAGTTGTTGGGCACTTGGGAACTGCTGTGCAAGGCACTTTGCTGGCCTTATGCTTGGTGCTGAGGAAGAGCTGAGCGCAGGGCAGCTGGTTTGCAAATGACTGGCAAGGGGGCGGGGCGGGGGCGGGATAGGAATGTGGCTCTGCAGGCCAAAAAGCTTCCACACCCTCAGGATGAAGAGTTAGAGTGAGCTCTCTTCTGGTACCCATCATCCTTACACTGGCTCGCCCCAGAGGGTTTTTTGTGGCACTGCAATAAGGCAGAATGACATGAGAGTTCACCTGCCTTATTCAGGTTTGTAACTGCAACCTGAAAAATATCCATTCACGGCCATGTTGCGAGTTCCACCAACAGGCATCCCACAAGACACATGTGAACCTGAGCTGCTTCAGAGGCAGATTTAGGGGAGAATGACCATTTTGCCTGCACTGGGCACCAAGCCCAGAGGGCGCCACAGGGGACATGGCAACAGTGGCAAAGCATGGCATGCAAGAGGCTGGGGGGCACAGGATTTTGGTGCTAGCCAGGGCACGCACCGCTGAAACTTTAA